AGTGAGGAAGGAGGAGAACCACCGCATAACAGTGCCCCCCACTCCCAACCCACTCAACCGTCGCAGCATGATGCCGTGGTCCACGGTATCAAAAGCCGCCGAGAGGTCCAAAAGAACAAGGACAGAGGAATAACCCCTGTCCCGGGCCCTCCAGAGATCATTTACCAACGTGACCAATGCCGTTTCCGTGCTGTATCCCAGCCTGAAGCCCGACTGGAGCGGGTCCAGATAGACTGTTTCCTCCAGGTGTCGAGGGAACTGCTGCGCAACCACACTCTCAACAATAATAAATAAATAATAAATAATGAATATTTGTTGCTTTTAAAAGATTTGGGCAACTTGTACAGTTGCAGTTGCTTCTTTGTCTTCCCTGTCACATTAAACAAATTGTTGACATAGCAGACCTGGAAGTATTTCTTTCTTGAAAGATTCTTCATGTTAAATTATGCCATATCCTTTCTATTAAGTATACGTGGTTCAGAAATGTATTTGAATCTGTTAAACTAAATTGAATAAATGATGAGGATTGGCATTTGGAACAACAAACTTCTCTACTTTCTGAATCTTGACATCGGTATAATTCAGAATCTTACAGAAGGAAGTATTTGAAGGAGTTTCATATTTTGGACAGCATGGTTGTAAAATTTATACAGTATTTTGAGTATACTATATCTCACTTGAGCTAATAGCTTGTTCATTCTCATCCACTTTTAAACCGCTTTACCACTTTAAAAATTGTACAATGAGACAAATTCAAATCTAATCACTTCACAAAATGCTAACTATATGTATATGTATAGAAAAAAAGAACACAGAATGCTAACTGATTTTGTGTGTGTGTGTGTATTATGTACACACATACACATAGTTAGGATTTTGTGAAGTGATTAGATTAGAATTTGTCTCGTACTTTTTTTAAATCTCACATTTTGTTTATCAAAATTTAAAATATAAAGAGAAATTCAAAAAAGTAATAAACGAGGGGGAGGGAAAAAGAAAAAAAACATGGTGTAAAGAAGAAAAAGGAAAGAAAAAGGCACCGACTTCCAACTCTCTTTAGCACAGTAGAAGATAACAACATTATAACCTCACCTTTTTACTTTTACACAGTAGTGTATACTAGCCATTTCTATAACAACAAACCTATCTAATTAGCAAAAACAAAATCAAAGTTTCATTTTTTTTTCCATTGCAAGCTCAAAATTCGGAAGCAATTTCCAAATGAAAACAAAATTAACTATATTCTCTTCTTTGGATAAAAGAATCAATTTGACCATCTCTGCTTCTCCTTGCTGTGGGGAATAATATATGCTTCTGTTTACTCATTAATCTTTATCATAAGTTATTTTAGAAGAATTCCCTATATTATTTCAAAAAAGATTTCTAACCCTGAAGGGAGAAGCTTTTTCTAGTTTTGACATTTTACAAACTTTAAAAATTACTCAAATATTATATATAATTATCCTCAAGGAATAAAACTTTTTCTTCTCTTGTTTTCAAATTTGATCAATAGTATTTTATAAACTTTGGGGATTATTCAACATTACATAAAATGACAGAAAATATACATTCTCCAGCAGAGGATGGTGTAGAGTCCACAGAATGGGTTAATTCAGTCTTCCTGATTAGCAGACTAAGACAAAAAAACTTGTCGCACCTCTCTCTGGGTGTGTCTTCCCAGTTTTTGTCCTAGTCTCGAGCTTAGCAGACCTTTTTTTGCAAGGCTCCCTGGCTAGGCCAGATTAGATTGAATTTTTTTGATTACATTGGATTTATTTACAAATTTTAAAAGAAACTTGAAATTTGACCTAATTGGCTACTACTATAGAATTTACCCTGTGTGACAGGGATTCTGTCTCTGTTTCCCTGCTGCCCCTCGGGGCTCGCAAGCGGGAGACTGCAGGCTCCGTTCGAGGGCGTGCCGGACGGCAAGCCTCCACGATTCCGAGGCTCG